AACAAAAAAAAAAAAAAAACAAAAAACTGGGCCCAGGGGACCTGTAGAGACCAATGCACCAACCAAGGACCATGGATGGAGAAGACCTAGATGTAGACCATAGGCAGCTCAGTCTACATGTGGGGGCCCTAGCAAGGGGAGCAGGAGCTGTCTCTGACATGGACTCAGTGGCCAGGTCTTTGACCTCCCCCCCCTGGGTGGGGGACAGCCTTGCCAGGCCACAGAGGAAGAGGATGAAGTCCTGATGAGACCTGATAGGCTAGGGTCAGATAGTAGGGGAGGAGGACCTCCCCTATCAGTGGACTAGGGGAGGGGGAGAGGGGAGAAGAGGGAGCTAGGATGGGACTGGGAGGAGATGAGGGAGGGCGCTACAGCTTTGATACAAAGTGAATAAATTGTAATAAATAATAAACCAACAAAAAAATAAAACAAAATTTAACACTCACCGCTCCTCCACACATATTCCTCTAACTTCTGTGGTCTGGAATCAGTACCTAAAAGGCCATGCCATCTTACTTTTATTCTCAGTCACAAGGTAAATTTGAGGCTTGAAGTATTCTAGTTTGAATGAGCTTAAGTTTTGAGGGGAACCTTGCTAGGCCTTATACTCAATTTCCTCATTGTAGTTCTATGTTCATACTTTTAGAATGGATCTCCAGAATTAGCTTTGCAAACCTGTGTCTATCAGCAGTGTGTTTAGAAGATTGGTAATGCATTCCGTTTAAGGTTTGTGCTCAGAGGAGAGCAGTGATAGTTTGATGGTAGAAAATCTAATGACAGCAAAAGATAATTAGGTACGCAGTTTTGTTTTGTTTTGTCTTTTTACTGAACCCAGAGCCTCAATTCCTGCTTCTCTTCTATGGCTGTGTGCCATGATTAAATCCCATAAGCCTCGCCTATGTTAGACTTCTAGTTCTGTTTTACCCTGCATCTCCTTTTTTAAGACCTGGAACTCTAGTCTTTAACCAAGCACATGACTTCCTTGAACAAAGCCTGTAGGTTTTTTTGTTTTTTTTTTTTTTGCAAACTTCCTGGCAGCTAAATTTGGACACAAGACTGACTTGTAGCCAATGGAATGCGTGGTATGTCCCTAGAATCTTCTTAAATGGAAGTTGTCTCTGGTTTTAACTCCTCCACGCTGGCAGGAATACAGATATGATGGTTGTCCCAGGGTCAACCATAGATCATAAAGAGACCTGAGGAGTAGGGGGCCATTCATAGCGGAACCAAACAGAAGGAGTCTAGGTTCCTTGTCCAACAGAACACAGTGTTAGCTTTTCATTCCCACACCTAGACTTTGAGTGGAAATTATAATTGGGATATTTCTGTTATTCACAGGAAAAAAAAAAGTCTAAGTAGAATCTGCTTTTCTAAAAGTCCTTGTCACTATCTAATCAGAATTAGCAAGATTTTCTGCTTGACCTTTTGAAATAATCTAGTAGTTGGTGTCCCTTTACTTGCGTCCGCCCTACTGCCCTTCCCATCAGTTTTGGCTTTGTTTTGTTTTGTTGTACACCAGCCACTGTGATTTATGAAAATCCAGATACACTGTCAGCCTTGTGCTTCAGCTGTTCTTAGGGTCCATGTAAGCAGTTCAAAAGCAGCACTCCTATTTGGCTGGGGCCTGCCTTCCTCCGGATTCTCCATACTTCAGCCACCCTAACCTCTCCGCCTCTTCACTTCCCACCTTGGGCCTCTGCCTGTGCTACACTGCTAGGTGTGCCCAATTTTATGACATTGTAACAAAGTTGTCATCTACAAAGCTCATGCTGGAGAATTGCACACTAAAGTTAGGGGAAAATGCAAAACAAACTCTCTTTTCCTTTTTCTCCCTCTCTCCCCCTCTCACTTCCCCTCCTCTTGCAGATAACTCTAGCTTGTGTCAAGTTGGCATAAAACCAGCCAGGACACCTACGCTCTTCCCTTGCTTGCAAACCCCTTATTTTTCACTTCCTCTTCCTCTTCCTCAGTAGTTTCTGGGTAAGTTTAAGAGTTGGGTTTAGCTCTCTTTTCTCACTCTCTGAGCGAGCTCTTTCTTTCTTCCTTTCCTGCCTTCTCTGTCCCCTGGTCTGCATGATGACTTTCCTAGCCTCCTTCCTCGGGACTGGTGAACCCTACCAAGAGCTGCCATCAATAAACCTCCCTTTATACTTAAAAAAAAAAAAGTTGGGTTTAACTCTGAAGGCCCCTGTTTGAGAAGCCTCCCCGCACACGCACACACACACTTCCTCTGTAGTGACTGCTTTCACAGTGCCCAGTACATTTCTGCTGGGAACCCTTCTGTTGTTTGCTGTTTATAAACAACTTCTAACAAGACTGGCTGGCTGGCTAGATAGCAGAGGGGTGACACCCGAGGATGTTTGCGCTACAAGAACCTAACTTGCACTTGTCACATAAATGAGTGCGGGAAGTTCTCCTGAGTGAGCTTACTTGGCAGTGCTACGTATCTATTCAGGGTAAAAGTGTATGTCTCTCAAGATCCCAGGGAAAATGGCTTGTCTGTATGATCTATAACTAATCTAGTGCTCTCTCGCTCTCTGTGTGTGCGTGCGTGTGTGTGTGTGTGTGTGTGTGTGTGTGTGTGTGTATGTGCGCGTGCGGCTTGGGTATACATGGAGGCCAAAGGACAACTTTAAGCTTTAGTCACTGCCCAGTGCTCCCCAGTGCTCCACCAATCCACCTGACTTTGAACTCAGCTCTTTGTGCTTTACACAGTACAATGAATTGACTGAGCCATCTCACCAGCCCTGATTTAGTTTTGTTCTCGAACACTACCCACCTTCCAATAAGTATGGATGTGAAGGAAGAGAGGATGATGGAAACTTATGTTTATAAACTGAAGGTCTTATTAATCTTTGAGTCTGGGGTGATGGCCCCGTGAGTCAAGTGCTTGTGGTGCAATGGTGAGGGCCTCGGCTCAGATCTCTGGAGTCCATGTGACAACAGACTGAGTGTGTAATCCCACTGGTTCTGCACAAGGGGAGAGAAGAGGCAATGGAAGGCTCAGAAGATCTTGAGCCAGGTAGCTTGGCAGATGCAGCGGCAACAAGACACTCCCGTGACAAACAGGGTGGGAGGTGAAGAATGACACCGGAAGTTGTGCTCTGGCCTCCCCTGAGCACTGTGGGAACGCATGTACCTGTGGCACACATGAGCACATGCTCATACATGACGGCTTTTTTTTTTTTTTAGTTTAACATTTTAAAGAGAAAATTCTTAGTTTTCCCTTTTCTTTCCTCCCTTCTCTCTGCTTGGGGGATGTGGTGGGAGGGGCAGGAAAAGGAAAGCTCCATTCTGCTCCCTGCACTCAGCTCCTCACCACTTTGAAGACAGCTTGGTCTGATCTTCTGCTTCTGGAGAGGATTCACTGTTGAGACTGGAGGCTCCAGCCAGTGACCTGTGTCAGCCAACCTTCAGAAACGCATGTCCTTTTAGTTCTCTCTGCAGGCCTGCTGGACTGCTCATCTCAGTTTTACCAGGGGAGGGGCACGGCGTTACATGAACGTGTCTTCTCCTGCATGTCGCATGCTGGTCTCAGAGCAGCATTAGGCAAGCATTTTAGACTGCTTCTGCTGCTGAATACATCTCTACCGTGTTAAAGACGGTGGAGCGTCGAGTTCAAGGCCTCTCCCCAGAGAAGAAAGTTTCCTCTGATACGCCGCCTGTTTGGATGCTTCCATGACTACACTCTCCCCGCCCCCCCCCCCCCCACTGCAGGCTGGAGGAAGAGGCCAGAACAGGAAGGCAAGGCTCTGTAGGTGCTCCAGCCTTCATCTCCAGCTTCCACAGACCCAAAGCAGAAGGCTTTTCCTCCCCACTGCTGACCTTGTCTCAGCTTCCCTAAGGAGTGGTATACAGGAAATCTCACTTTTAACCATATCTGGATTTTTTAAAATGCTAATAGAGCTTCAAAATTATATAAGACCCCCCTCTCTGAAAATATCTAGTTTTTTTTTAAAGATTTATTTATTATTATGTATACAATGCTCTGTCTGTATATACACCTACATGCCAGAAGAGGGCACCAGATCTCATTATAGATGGTTGTGAGCCACCATGTGGTTGCTGGGAATTGAACTCAGGACCTCTGGAAGAGCAGCCAGTGCCTTTAACCTCTGAGCCATCTCCCCAGCCCCCAATGTCTGGATTTTTAATATGATTGTGTTTTGGAGATCCAAAACTCTATTGTAAGAAATCAAAGTTGTTCTTGGCTTTTCTTTCTTCTTTCCTCCCTCCCGGTGGTTTGTTATTGATCTTAAAAATTATTTTATTAGCTTGTGTGTATGGGTGTTTTGCCTCTTGTACCCAGAGCATACAGTGTCCCTGGGGGTCAGAAAAGAGCATTGGATCCCCTGGAGCTGGAGTTACACTGTGAACTACCATAAGGGTGGGTTCTGGAAACGCAGCCAGGATTCTCCGACAGAACCACCAGTGCTCTTAATCAGTGAGCCATTTCTCCACCCCCACCCTACCCCTGCACTTTCTTCACTTTCTTCTTTTGGAATTTCTTATGCTACAGTTCTACTAATCTTTTCAGGACAATAGTTCTGAACTTCCAAGGAGAAAGTCACAAAGGGATATAAAAATATTAAAATGTTTTAAAAATCTCTCATTTCCACCCCCCTGTAAAATCGTCAACCCTTTCATCCACATAGTCTTTCTCAGAAGGGCAAATTTGTCTCGGTTTTGGAATACCAATAGTAATGTAAGTAAAAGGTCGTAACTTTTAAACAATAACAGCACCTTTCGGCTGTGACTTGAGAGAGAGAGGGGGGCTGCATCATCAGGAGGCTCTGGGACCTGCGAAGGATGGAAGCCGTGCCTACGTTAGAGAAGGCGTTAGCTCTGGGAGCAGGCTGCAAGCGACGCGGCCTTGACCACCGCCGTCGCCGGCTCAGGGCTGACACCACGGAAGTCCTGCCGTCGGGGCCGGTAGAGTACGTAAGACGCGGAGCGCCTGCGCGCCGAGGACCGGCCCATTCCTAGGCGACCCGCGAACGCCGGCCTACGAGCGCCGCGGAAGTTTGGGCCTCGCCTCCCGCCGTCCGCCGTCACGTGCGGGCCGCGGCGGCCGCGTCGTCAGGTGGGGGCGGCGAGCCCGGCGCGGGCCGAGCAGGAAGTGAGGCGGCGGCCGAGCCATTCTTAAAGGGGCCCGAGAGCGCGCTCGGCGGCGGACCACCGAGGACCGGAAGGAAAATGGTAGGCGGCGGCGGAGGGCGGCCCGGAGGGGCCCCGAGCGCGGGCGGGCGGGAGGGCGGTGGGGACGCGGCCGCCGCCCGCACCGGGTCGGCCCTCGTGCCCGCGGCGGGATGGCCGGGCCCGGGCGGCGTTGGTGGCGGGCGCCGCGGCCCTGGCTGCATCCCGGCCTCGCCCGGCTCCCTGTTCCCGCATTCCTGAGAGTCGAGGCCGGTGGAACCCACGTGACCCAAGGTTCTAGGGTCCCCCTTAGGCAGCTGTCAGGCTCACTTCTGCTGCGTTTGGGCCGCGGTGCCGGTTCCCTTTGACGATGAACCCCAAGCGTAAAGATAAAGTGGAGAATTAAGTCAGTTGCTGTCAAGGACCTTGTGGGTCCTTCCCAAGTGTTTTTTAAGTAAGATCAAGTGCCATGGAAACAACAGGAAGACACGGTTGTTCTCCATAACTCCTCCCTTGGGAAACACTTCCATCCAGCAGATCTTACCATGGACTCTGAACCCAGTGAGCTCATGGATTTTCATCATTATGACCTTTCAGCTACACCCCAGGGTATTGACACTCTCATGTTCGAAGCATTCCTTTTCCTCATGCCTTCCCCTTGGCTTCTGGGATTCAGAACTCCTGGCTTTCCCCCTACCTCTGCTGATGCATCTTTCCCCTTGGCTTCCTTTCTCCATTCCCTGGACTGTGCCCACAAGAGCCCTAGGTTCCATCTCGAGGCTTCATTTTCTATTGTTTTTCTCTTTTCTGAATTCCTGGCTTCAGTTACCACCTACATTGAGTTGACTTGTGTGTTCCTATCTCTGGCCCTACTGAGATCCAACCAGCAGTTATATTCCACTTTTCGGTTAATATCTGTAGGAAGCATTTCCTCACAGAGATGCCACAGAAGCTCCGCAGTTTGTCCAAAAAGAACTCAGAGTTTCCTCCCCTTCATTCAGCCAGGATTCTGAAACATAGTTAACGGTGCCATTTGTGTCCCTTACACAAGCCAGAAGTCTCAAAGTTATCTCTGTAAGCCTGTGTTTCCTTCAAATCTCAAATCTATCCCAATTCATAGCTAGTGGTTAAGAGAGAGAGAGAGCGCTCTAGAGGTCAAGATAACTGGGTTGCTTCCTGGGTTCACTACCTGTAGATGCTTCTAGCCTATCTAAGCCTTAGAGCTCCTGCCCAAGGGGGTTGTTGTTACTGTAGGTGTGAGGGTTTGCCTTGTGAAGCAGGGGTGAGTCTCATGTTACATACGTGGTAACTGATGTTACTCACTTGTATGCTGATCTTCAGCCGCTCAGCCAGTTGTCATCTCTTCTCTGAAGTAGTCTTGCTGGTAACTAATGCTTCTGTGTTCTTTCTGGCTCCCTGCCTTCTAATTGAATATCACAGCAAGCATGATCTTATCAAAATTCAAATATGGCCATGTTTGCCTTCTTCACAATACTTAAAATGTGTTGATAGCTTCCATTTGCCCATGAGATAGAAATCTGAGTACCTACTAGGTCCTAACCTAGCCTTGGTCCTTGCTTCTGTTGTGGGCATCTGAGTCTCACTGTCATTTCATGCTGTTGGCTGCTGTGCTTGCTGTAATTATGTTAGATGGCTTTTTACTGTCACTGTTATTTGTGTAGGCAATCCAACTGGCCTGCCCTTACAGGCCTTTAGGGCTCTGACTACATCCTATGCCATCACCTGCACCTGGTGTGAGGGATATATCCCGCCCACCACCTCTCTCCCCTACCCCTATCTCTCTCTGTTCCGCCTCTACCCTCTCCCTTACCCCCTTTTCTCTCTTCCTTCCCCCCCAATAAATCTTATACCATACGTGTTGTATGACGCTATATCTTTATATATTACAAAAGTCAACACATTGTTCTTCACCACTTACAGGTTCTCAAAGCATCACGTGACTCTCCTATCTAGCCTTTATCACGGATACTAGTTTACATTTTCTTGCCTGGTGGCTTTGAAGTAGGTCTCTTCTGTGAAGCTAGTCTTAGCGTACTGTTGGTGCTCATTAACCATTCACTTATTGAATGTACCAATAGGTGAATGTTTCAACTATCATAAATAACATTTGTTTTTTTAGAATTTTAGAATTGCTTTTATAGCTTTGTACTCATTCTTAAATGTTTAAAGTGTAAACAGAGGTGAGTTAGCTAAGCCTGAGTTCATTCCCTTCTCTACCACCACCCCTGCCTTTTTAGAAGAAACAATTTATCTTCCTGCCTCTGCCTCTAAATGCTGGCATTACAGACATGTGCTTCTGGTTCCTGAGTTCTCCTTGTAGGAGGGGATTTGGGGCTCTGTTGTAGCATTGGGAAAGGAGAAAACACAAACTGAATTACACAGATTAAATCAAAGCATGTTTTCATCTTTTCCATAATGCTAGGGGTCATGTGAGGCAAGTGCCTTACAAAGAGAGACACTGAGCATGTTTTCATCTGTGTCTGACCCTAGGAGATCAAGCTTACACTTGTAGCTCTGATTTTCAGAGCTGAATGGTAAGACTTCTATCAAATACGTTTTGTCTTAAATAAAAATCCAAAGTCTTTATTAGTTTCCTTAATTCTATCTTTGGTCAAAGAAATTTAATCTTAGCTTTAGGCAGTTCCCTAATATTTTGCATCTCTCTAAAGAGAAGTAGAAGATTGAAGATTTGTATCTTTTGTTATTTTCTGTTGATTAGTACTCTTGGCTGGTGTGTAGGCCTTGGTTGTACAATAGCATACTGTATGATATGTGTCACACTTCTTTCTGACTACCAGGAGTTCAGAATTTGAAGGACAGTTAAAATGCTAGCCATTTCCTGCTTTAATCCCATAGGCAGTGAGACACCTAGGCTTCCATACATGTTATTTTCCATATATATTCCATATATATATACTTATTTATTTAACTTAGAATTGGAAGCCCTAATGCTTTGAGGTTCTGATGAGAAGTTCCACATTTTCTTGAAGGGGAATGGGAAACTTCTATATGAAAAATCCAAAGTGAACTTTTTACAACTTGACTCAAACCAACTATAAAAAATGTAAAACATGGGGGCATCTGAACGTTAGTTAGGTATTGGAGACTAGAATTTTGGTATGGTTTTTAAGTAGAACAGTTTGCTATCTTTATGTTTCCTGTGACACATGCTGTCTTTAATAGTCCGATATTTCTAGGTGAATGACTTGTAGTCTTTGGGTAAGAGAGTCCATTGGGGTATGGGTGTACTGTGGGCAGTGGAGCTGAGTGATACGTAGGATTTCACTGATCTGTTCTCCACATTGCTGTGTTTTGGAAGAGTCTTTAACTTATTGTATTGGGGGGCTTTGGGGGACAGGGTCTCACTCTGTAGACCCAGCGGCCCACTTAGACATCTTTCCGCCTCTTCCCCTCAAGTGCGCACCATCATGCCTGGTTAATTTTGTAATTTTACCTAATAAACATATCATCGCATGGCATGGTGGCATTTCACACTTGGCAATTCAGGGAGTCTAAAACAAAGAGGATCACAAGTTTGAGGCAACTTGGGCAACAACAGAAATCCTCTGTCAAAAACCAGACAGTTAAGGGCTGGGGCGACCGGTGAGTACATAAAGTGATTACTGTACAGACACAAGGATCTGGCCTTGATATTTATTTCCTCTGCTTTTGCTTTGTACATTATTTTTGTTGTTGTTTTTCAAGGAAACCGGTTTACTGAGTGTACTGCAAGGGTCGGCAGGCTGGACAGAATATTGCTTGCCTTTTCATGTATTCTTTGCTTTTTGTTATTGTTGGGTTTTGAGACAGTCTCTCTACATAGCCCCGGCTGTCCTGGAACTCTATATGTTGACCAGGCTCGGCTAAAATTCGCAGAGATCGCCTGCCTCTGCCTCCTGAATGCTGGGATTAAAGGTGTATGCCACTGCACCTGCTACTCTTGTACATCTAATAGCCAATTTTATGTCTTTAGTAGTCAACTAATTTGTAAATTGTTCATTATTTTACTGTCATGGTCATTTTTATTTTCTCTATAATTGTGAAACTCCAAAACAGTGAAGTGATGTTCCCTTTCTTGCCACACAGTGTGAAATATGTGCTTGCTCATCTGACAAAAGATGACCTCTCACTTCCACATTTCCTCCCTTCCTCTCCACTTCTAGTGAAGTGCTTGTTAGGATGTGCTTGGTTTTTTAAGTACTTAGCAGCCAAAGAGAAGGTTAAAGTGAAGCTGATGTTAGAGATGAACAGAGGTATGACTGAACCATGTAGATCAAGGTTGGTAGATTTGAAATTTTATTTTATTTTTTTACAGGATTTCCCTGTGTAGTCTTGGCTGTCCTGGACTCCCTTTATAGATCAGGATGGCCTCAGACTCACAGATGCCTGCCTGCCTCTGTCTCCCAGAGTGCTGGGATTACAGGGTTGCGCCACCATGCCCAGCTTTGAAAGTTCTTTAACATGCACAAATATTGAAGTTATGGCATTTTAAGTGTATGTATCCCTCTCTCTTGTAGAGTGAGTCTTTGGTGGTTTGTGATGTTGCTGAAGATTTAGTGGAAAAGCTGAGAAAGTTTCGTTTTCGAAAAGAAACCCACAATGCTGCCATTATAAGTAAGCTGAAGTTGCCTCAAAACTATATGATGTTAGTTTGTTTTCTCTTAAAGCTCCTTTGAATGTGCCAAGACTTTGGAAAGTAATTGGTGCATCCTCCTGTTGCATTTGCTGCCATTAACTCTGCAAGTTAAGAAACTGCTATTGCCATAGATAACCCCATGTCAGCTGCCTACTCAGCTCTGGAGAAGCCAATTGTCTTGGTCACTTGAGGAATGAGGGTTCCCATTTGTAGTAACCCAGGGGTGTTTGTCCTTCTCAGGGGGCTAACAATAGTGCAGACCAAACGTTTGCCCACACCTGGTAAAGTTCAGCATTGGGCCTTATTCCAATTCTACACTAAACTTGAGTCTCGTGGAGAGTGCTTTACTTGTTTTCATAAGTCTTTGTGGGCAGTGATTAGAAAGATGAAAGAAGGTCGAGGGAGTGAAAATGTAACGACTATAGACTTTGCTTAACAGAGACACATCAGGTAGTGTGAATTAAATCAGGTGGTGGCACCTTATGAAGTTTGGGTCTGTTAAATAAGTGCTGTCACGTGGTTATATGGTTAATAGGGAAAATGTGTAACAGTGCCACTTGCCATCAAAGAGGAGGCTATTTGAGGTCACATTGTGTGTCCTTAGGATTTAAATGTGAGTGTAGTGCAAACCCAAACATAGTTGACTCCTTAGGCAGGTAGGAAAGAATGAAGGCATAGGTAGTCTGGGTTTACTTTGATTTGTGTTTGGGTCATGCCACCTATATTTGAGTCTATTTGAACAGAGGTGGCGTTGGTAATTCACTTTTTCAGAATAAGGACTGTATGCTATGAAACTGTAATGCTGGAGGAGCTGGTGTCTTGGGATTTTTCTCTCCTGACTCCTGAGCTTTTCTTTTGCAGTTCTAACTGTGTTGCACTTAGACCAGTCTCAATCAGATTTATGTTGACAGCCACTTTTTGAAAGTTGCATTGGAGTTACAAAGTTCTCCCTACCTGCAGTGCATGTGAGGAGTGGATAGGTCTAAATTAGCAAGGTACATTCTGGGAATTCTGTCTGCAAACGTCAAAGCTTAAGTGTATTTTGTATTATGTCTCTTGATGCCTTAGGCGCTCCTCTCTCTCCATAGAGACTAAGGTCACATGGGTTGGGTTGTCAGGGTCACAATAGAATTATACTTTACTTATACTGTATTTTCATTGTAGTGAAGATTGACAAGGATAAACGCCTGGTGGTACTGGATGAGGAACTTGAGGTTTGTTCAATGAGCTAAATACAATTTTTATAGTTAAGCAATTATTGTTGTCCAAATAATGCAATGTCAGTTTCATGTACTAAAACAAGTTCTGGACCTTCTTAAATACATACTATTTATGCATGAAAAGCATGGGCTAATTACTGGTTTCACGTTGTCTTGCTGATTTAACTGCCTTCCTTAAAGCATTAATGTGATCCAGCATTGTAAGTAGGAGTTAGAGCTCTAGTAAAGATGAGTCAGCTTCATAACTTATGAGCTGCGCAGACTGATAGAAAGCGGAAGCTTTAGTTACCTACTTGAGTAGGTAACTAGAGTAGAATTACTGTTTCCTCTGGAGGTATTGCTGTGTCACCAGTCACTTGCTGTTTCCTGACACTTGGAACATAAACATAGAAGGAACACTGACCTTCAGCCCCATGTTTTGTTAATAAATAGAAACCATTCTGTATGTGATAATGAACTCATGGCTCTTAGCAGAGTGGGTTTTTGCGTAAGGACATGCTTCACACTTCTTTTCTCTGCGGCATTAGGGCGTCTCTCCAGATGAACTCAAAGATGAGCTACCTGAGCGGCAGCCTCGATATCCTTTTCTAAGTGCTTTGGGAAGCTTTGTTAGTCACCAGGGTTTTATTTATGAGCCCATTTGTTAAACCTTCAAAAGATATATTTTATATGGCATGAAAACGATGAAGGGGACTGTTCAGGAGACAGGAGGAGTGTAGAGGGACAAATGTGAGCAAAGAACCAAATATATATGTAAAGCCCATTATTTTATAATGCTGACTATGAAGCCAATGAAAGAATAAAAACATATCTTACAAGCAGTCCATCCATATCCTGACCAACCAAATTAAAATATGTATGCTTATATTAGACAAGAAAAATGAAAGTTGGTGTCCTAATAGGATTAAAACAAAACAAAACAATTCTCTTTATTCCAATGTGCATGCATTAAAAATTGAGAAAGAAAAAAGTTCATATTAAATCTGTACTTTTAACAATTTTCTATTTGAAAGGCTACATGATTTTGTGATTTGCCTTTGGTTTTATGTCACAAGTGTGGTAGTAAATGGCGCCAGGTGTTGCTAATTGTCTGTCTTAGACAATGGTTTAGTTTCTTAACTTGAGAAAAACCTTCATTGTGTATAGTTACAAGTATCAGCATGATGATGGAAGAGTTTCTTATCCTCTGTGCTTTATTTTCTCCAGTCCTGTTGGTAAGTTAATTTCTTTAATAATGTATATTTCTCTTTGATATAATTGAATCATCTTTTGCTAAACATTTTTGCTATTCATAAAGGTGAAGTTGTTGAATAACCTAAACTGAGGTCAGTTTGTGTGTGTTGTACACACACTTGTACGCATCCCCTCAAGAGCAGGTACCGTAAAGCATTGTCTCTTGGGATGTGCTTACCTTAGCTGGTCAATTCCCAGAAGTGCAATTGTTGAGTTAAATCCTACATTTATGATTCTGGAACACAATAACATCTTTTTGAATCAGAAGTATATATTTTCATTTTGTTTAAGTATGTGATCTTTGTGTGACCATGTTAATATGCTGTGTTTATCTTTTTAGAAATAGTTACCAGTGGTAAGCCTGTAATCTTGAAGATGGTTCTTGTACTATTGAAATTAAAATAGTGCTGAACAAAGTTTCTAATGTCTGTCAAGACTCTGAAAATCAGGACCCAGAGAGACCTAGAACCACTTTTGATGATGTGATAAATCTTTGTGAAAGATAAAAGTAATAGAAACCAGTATCTTTTCAAAAGCTACCATTCGTTTCCATGCTGATGTCTTCCAGGGTGCAAGCCTGAGCAGCAGATGATGTATGCTGGGAGTAAGAACAAGCTAGTCCAGACAGCTGAGCTGACCAAGGTAGTGTGTGCGCTGGGCGGGTTTATTGATGCTTTCCTTCAGCACACAGAGCAAAAGCCAGGCAGCCTGACGTGGAAGTATTTTCCTGTAGCTGAAGCTTTGAAGGCTAATGTGATACATCAGTAAAGCTTTGTATTTATTAGTAGGAAAGAGAACGATAACAATCTTTGAGCCAAAATGTGTTTTTAAAACAAATTGATTAGAAAAAAATAACTTATCAGAAAAGCCACTGTAACCATGCATGGTGGTGGGTGCCTGTAAGCCCAGCACTGGAGAAGAAGCTGAGGCAGGTGGGTCATGAGTTCAAGGCCACACTGGGACACACAATGAGATTATCTCCATGAGGGTGGGTAGCGGAATCATGGTAACTGCTAAGCCTATCAAGTCTTTTATACTGTCTGTACCCTATTGTACTAGACCTGACATTATTCATTTACACATTACTTTATGACTTCTATAATCTCATTCTGTACTGGTGTTGAGATTGATGGTCATATCTCTGTAAATAAGAAAATAGGTTCAGGGTCCTGTGAGATGGCTCACTGGGTAACCAGACTTACGGCCAATCTCAGTTTGATCCCTAAAACACACATGGTGCAAGCAGAGAACCACCTCCTGAAAGTTGTCCTCTGACCTCTGCATGTGTACTGTGGCTCATGTGCATGTGTGTGTTTGTACAGGGACACATGTACACACACACAAGGGTAACTTTAAAAGCAAACTAGAGAAAAGCAGGTTCGGAAGATAATTTGCTTAGGTCTGTTAGCTAGAGCTAAGATTCAGAATTACAGTTGGCTCCAGACCCCGTCTGTTTCCTGAAATGCCTCGGCTTCCTACAGCGCTTGTGCTTTCTGGCCTGTGAGTTCAGATCCCTCCTGGAGAACTTTAACTGTGGGCTCTAATATAGCCTTATCAGATTAGTCAGCAGCCGGTGTTGACATCTGATACCTGAGCTGTGAAAGATGGGCCTTATGTTTCTCCAGCTTCTAGCTAGGTTGTTTTAGATTTGTATGCTTGGCTGTTTTTTCTAATGGGCAAGGTTTACAGAGTTGCTCTTTTAGTATGTATGTGCTAATTCAGAATTTGTGGTTTTGAAAGACTCTAGGTTTTATGTCATCTTGATTGCTATACTTTGGTTACTTAAGTATTTAGCATTTAAAGAAGCGTAATACTGCTGAAAAGTACATCTCATTTACTAAGGTAAGTCATGACCAACAGGAAGGAAACAGAATGTAGGTTGTTTGGTTTTTTTGTTTTGTTTTGTTTTTCTTGTTTGTTTTTGGTTTTTGAGACAGGATTTCTCTGTGTAGCCCTAGTTGTTCTGGGATGTTCTATAGACTAGGCTGGCCTTGAACTCAGAATCTTCCTGTCTTCACCTCCCAAGTGCTGGGATTTAAGGCCTGCAAGACTCTCACCTCTACCACTACCCCCACCCCTGGCTAAGAATGAAGTACAATGTAGAGATTGTACAATGAAGTACAATGAAGTACTCAGTACAATGTAGAGATTTTTCCCCCCCTAGAGTGATGGAATATGACTTCAGTTTGTTTGCTCTTTCCTTCCTTAAGGTATTTGAAATAAGAAACACTGAAGACCTAACTGAAGAATGGTTACGTGAGAAACTTGGATTTTTCCACTAATGTGAACTTCTGTGTTTCTAAAGTATTTATGTATTAACCTGACCATACTGGAACCAGACATAATTATTTATGCCTAAAAATGCACTGTTACTTACAGTTCGTTTCCTGCAGTAAAGAAAAACTCTTCATTTGTGCAGTTTGAACAAAGGGGAAATCATCTTCATAGTAATGAAACTTTGTGAAGTGTTTCCTTGTCTCTGTTATTATTGGATGGACTACTTTTCTCCAGGGATGAGTTGTACCCTTGTGACTAATTTCTATAACTTATGATTCAGAATCTGTTACTGTTTGCAGACACTGTTGGAAGGTGGGTACTCGACTGTGACCGACAACGGACCCTCCTTTGGCCACTCTGGGTGCTGGCAGTTTCTAAGTGCAAAGAGCATTTACCACTTGGCACATCACTGAGTCTCAGTTGGGGCTAAAGTCGTAAGGGGCCAATTTGGAGCCATGAAGAGTGATTTAGTAGAACCTCCGTTGCACTTCCCATCAGTTTCCATTTTTTCTTGGTTTAATCAAGTCTAGAAATTAAATCAATCACTCATTCCTGTGGTCTGGGAGTTCAGTTTTGCGGTAGAGTTAGGATTATTAGGTTGTCTTCTTATGGAAAATAGCATGCAGGTCTTAGAGACTGGTGAGTTCTACAATCAAAGGCTTCGTTTCTGATGATGCCACCAGTAGGGAGTTAGAATGTAGCTTGGTAACACTCTAAAGCCCCTCCTATTGTCTTGTGAGCACTGGCCTAGATATGTTAATTCTGTGCCTTTGATTTGTCAGCTTTAACATTAGCTTAAGACTTCTACACTGCCAGTATTCTAGATTTGGTGAAATTAATACTTTTTTAGAGGGTTCAAGTAAAACAATTTTCTAATATGTATAACTGAAGTTTGTAATAAAACCAACTTGTTATTTTTAAAATTCCAACTATCTGCCCAAAGTTGTGAATATATGGTAGGTGATAGTTATAATTTGGGGTATAGTTGCTATTACTTTTGTGCCATATGTAAGCATCATTTAAAACTTTGGTCATAGTTAATAACAACACAGCAATAAATGTCATACCTTTTATCCTAATGTCAAAAGAAGTTCTCATGTGGAGTGAGCCTGTCACGTTAGAGGTGAGAGCGTCATCAGGAAGCAAGGCTTCTAATCTACTTGCAATTATTATGTCACACTTAAGAAAGTGAGAGAAACTGCTGAATAGTAGTTTGCTTTAAAGAGAAAAGTAGAGAGACTGTGTAGAGGCTGACCAAATTCTTGTATTAAGAAGGTAATCATCAGATTGGTGTGGTGACACACGCCTTTAATTCTAGCACGTGGGAGGCAGAGGCTGGGAATCTCTTTGAGTTCAAGGCTAGCCTGGTCTACAAATTGAGTCCAGGACAGCTAGGTCTACACATAGAGACCCTGTCTGGAAAAAAAAAAAAAAAAAAAGGAAGGTAATTATTTTGAGCTGGGCCCTGGTGGTGCACACCTTTGATCCCAGCACTTAGGAGGCAGAGATAGACAGATCTCTGGATCTCTGAGCTCCAGGCCAGCTTGTTCTGCAGAGCAAGTTCCAAGACAGGCAGGGCTACACAGAGAAACCCTGACTCAAACCTTACCACACCTCATTTCCCTACCCATCCCCCCAAAAAAAGAAAAGAAAAACTAGCAAAAGCATCATTATGCTGGCTGTGTTCATTGCATGGTATTTGTCTTGTTGAGGGCTCTGCGCCAGTTTCACTGGAGGAAAGGTAGTTGGAATTTTCATAGTGTAATAGAGTGTGTTGTATTCCCAGCTGTGTGTTCGCTAGCCTGTGTGTCAGGAAGCAATTGCAAGCGCTTGAGGAGGTGTTTGTATTGGATCGTGAATGGAAAAGTTAGTTTACTTCAGTGTCCAGACAGTGAGAAAACTTCATCCAAGAAGTTTAAGGGGTCCTTATACAGGTGTTTTGGTATGGGCTAGATAATAACTTGCTTATAATCCTACAGAAATGCAAATGAGATCCAAGTAGAGAGCGACTTGAATGTTTTGAATGATGCAAATAAGGTTTTTCACCTGGTTGTATTAAGTACACTTTCAAAAGCAGTGCTACAAGAGCACACGGTTTGAATGTGGTTCTTTACTTTGGCTTGCTTATTTCATTTAGTTTTGAAACTTCAAAGCCTTTCATCAGGTCGATGGCACTGACCTGCCATGTACAGGACTCTTACTCTCCAGTTCTAGCAGCAGCACAGAGGTGAGCAGCTTTCTTTTTCAGGCTTGTCAGGCCCTTACCAATAAGTGAGCCTTTGTAAGGCAGCACATTGAATTGGGGCATTAATAGAGCATTTTTATTCTGTCTGTCCTTAGACAGGTTTATATGTTTCTCTTTACCTAAAATTTACATTCTTTTAAAGTATTTTTAAAATTCTTTTTCTGCCTTTCCATAAAGAATATGTCCAGATTTTTACACTCCATGATTTTCTGGAACAACCATTCCCACTCAGCCTTAAATCTTTATCTTTACTTTTTGGTAGCCACTCTTTCTAGGAACCTCTTTCTTTTTTTAAGTTTGGAAATTTCCGATCTTAGCTAACTTGTGCGTAACATCTAATGTTAGAACCAACTAGGAATCACAATGTATGTGTAATACAGTTTTTATGACAACCTAAGTGACGTATGAAGAAAGGTATTCTCAGGTTACTGTGCTGAAATTCCAAAATGCTTTGAGTTTTGAACAGTAATCACTTTGCTCTGGTAGTAAAACAGTTCCGTGAGGAAAAAGCTGATTGACTGTGTGTTTAAGTGACTTCTGAACTGTGTGAATTGTCTGTCCGAGGAGTTTGCTGGATGCCCAGTGCAGGGAAAGCATTAATAAATAATTGTAACAAAATGTGTGCTGGCATTTTCCCCTCCCTATTTGTCTCCTATTTTCAGGAGCCAAACTTAGCCATAAACTGTACCCTGGTCTGACACTTTCACTTAATGGTTTCCAGTTAGCAGAGTTTATTGCCAAATTAAACTTGGCTCTTTTCCCACCTAAAAATAAACTAAGGAAGGTGCACCTAAGAAATGTTTGAACACTTGCAAAACTCAAGTGACTCCTTCAATCTGTGTGTGGACTAGTGAACAGATACTTTCATAAGAGTTGAAAGGCCAGTGTTTGGGGAGTAGAGAGTGAGCTGTATTCTGTCACTTCTGTTAATATGGTTGTATTCCTAGTTTGTTCTGTAGACTGATAATACTGGAATCCATAAAGTTGGAGCCTTTACAGCTTACGTGAAGAAATGTTGCAAACATTTCTGGATGAATCTTATTTTGTATTTCTGAAAGAATGTAAATAATCTCCTAGGCCTCTTCATTCATGCTGATAGTTCCAAAGTGAATGTTTCTTGCTAGGCCATTTGACATTTCAGATCAATGATCATATTCCTGTAATGTTAAAACAGTTACGTTGCGCTTTGATGGAAACGATTTCTTGCTTTTTGGAATATAATTACTTGAATATTGTTTGAGATCACTAATATGCCAGGGCGCGTCCCACTGATTTTGATGGTCCAATGTAATCTCATTCAGGAGGCTTGAACATTGGTGGTTTAGTCTTGTGAATTTTAACAGTTCTCTGTCATTGTGTAAGAAAACCAACAGCTGGCACCACTTCTTGAGCTGTGGTTCCAGTCTGCTAATTCATCCGCATGTTTACTTTGGAGTCTTTTGGTAAGCATGGTCCTTGTACTGGTTTAAATAAAATGCTAACATGAAAGCACTTCCAGTGTTTCATTTTTTACTTATTTTCCACTTCCCCTTTGTAACTACTGATGCCTGCCTCTCAATTTCTTTGATGAGCCACATGCCTATTTAGCAGTTTACTTGATTTGGGAAAACTGAATAACAACAATGATGAAGAAAAGGAATCCTTGGGTGACTTGATGGAAGGAGAACAGAATGACATTGATCCTACTAAAACTCAGTCTGCTGTGAAAGGATGGATTTGTAAGAAAGTCAGTGAACAACAGTAGAGACAGAAGGGCTGATTCCAGATGATGAATCTGGCCTTAAAAGGGAGAATTAGAAGTTAGGAGGTCTGTGTGTCTCTGAGCAAACCTGTCAGAGGTTACATTATTAGAAATAGCTTCATTGTTTATAATCATATATTGAAAAACCATCCTGCTGTTACTTAGGGACTAAACTACAGAGTCTATGCCGTGGGTGTCTGTTAGAATGGATAAATGCAAATCACCAATGTGCTTTAGGGTTTACCGGGTAGGTTCTATTTATGATTAAATCTGCTAATAGTCACAACTTAATTTGGCTATGAAAGGAGTAATTAGTGACTTCCTTCCTGTTCTCAACAGGAGAACTGGCCAGAGCCAGTTTTTTCTTATTTCTCAAATTTGGTCAGTTAGCTACTCAAGGAAAACAAAACAAAACATTTAAAAAATTATTTCACCTTCGCTTAAAAATACTTATTTAAAAATTAATTTAAATCCTTGTTGGTTTCCAGCAACAAAAAGTATCTGTAAGCATTCAGGTCCCAGCATGGGCCCAGAGTGTTTTGCACAGGCTATTCCCTGAGTGGACACTGCATCCCAGCTGGCTGAAGCCAGAGGCAGCCATTTTCTGTGGTATTGCCCAACGGGCAGCAAATAAGTATCTGGGTCAATTATTCTTTTCAATGAGACAGCTATGTAAGTGTGAGAATGCTGTTTTGGGGGGAAGAAGCAGTAAGCAGCCCCGAGCAGAGGAAAAGATGCCAGCTCTGGCAGTGTGGACTAAAGCAGCAGGCTGGGTCGGGGAGCCCCCAATTACAGAGCCACGTTTGGGTTGGGGCTCCTTTGATCCAGGGTCTCTCTTCGGTTTGCCCTCTTCCCAAGGCCTGGTTGGTCAGCTTTTTCTGGATGTTCTGCACGTCTGTTAGCAGAAAACCTCAATTCTGATGTCAGCATGCACAGATGTTTGCTTGTATACAGAAGTGCCAAACTACAGGACCAGCTCCAGGTTGTCTGCCACCGTGGCCTGTATCCACATTCAGCCCAGCCCAGCCTACAAGTATACCCTGGGCTGCGGCCCGGCTGGAGGGGCCGTACCAGGGTAATCTTTAGTTTTAATTCATTCCAAAAAAAGGTGCGCTTGCTTGTGGTTTTATGCTTAGCCAAATCTCTTTACATTTTTGGTATAAACTGGAGGCAGGCATGATTTCCATAGTAATGCACAATTATGATTGATAGTACTGTGAATATTTATATACATATAGCTGTTTCCCATTATACCTGTTTTCTTGTTTAGAGAAGAAAATTCCAAACAAAATCATGGTGACTTAATTTCAATGATAGATCTTTGTATAGTTTCTAGAGAGAAGCTTATAAATTGTGTTCTGTTTGTAATACTTTATTTGTATAGCTCTAACAGGAAGTGTTGATAATCACGCAGTGGTATCCTTGTTCTTTGGACACCTAAGCTGGAGCTGTACCTATCAGATTCAGCAAGAAACGCTAACAGGCATGCATGCCTGTATACTTACACTCGGTACACTCGGTACACACAGCATCACCTCTTAGGATCCATAGATGATTGGCGCCAGGGTCCCTCCTTTGGTACCAGAGGCTGTGGGTGTTCAGTTCCCATATGTAAGATGATCTAGCATTCATATAAGACCTATGCACATCCTTCTGTGTCAGGTTAGGTAGGATACCTGACACCATGTAAATCCTATGTAAGTAGTTGCTGCATTGTTTAGGGACTAGTAGTAAGAAAAAGACCATACATATTCAATATAGGTGAAGGTTTTTTTAAGTATTTATTTATTTAAAAAATAAATACTTGTAGTTGGTTGAATCCATAGCTACGGAATGCATGGAGAGCTAGTTATCTAATCTGTTTCATTTCCTATGAGTATAGATCAGAGAAGGCATGGTGGTCTTTCCATAACATGCTGGAGACTCAGGAAAGCTGAAGGTTTAATTCTAGTATCAGTCCAGTGGCCTAAGAAAAAGGCAGCCAGCGATGTAAGCACCAGTCAAAGAGCAGAGAAAGTGGATGTCCCAGCTGCAGAGATAGACGGGAAACACCAGATTTCCATGTAATTCTTTGAAGCTCTGTTCAGGCCTTCTGTGGACTGGCTGATGACGGCCACCCACAAAGGAAACAGCATCAGATCCAACTGTGGATCTCACTCAGACACCTAACGTTTAATATGGAAATCACCTCTACTGGCCAGATTGACAGAATTAACTGTCTCTGGACCATAAAGTTATTAAGGCCAAGGGCCGAGTGATGGCTCAGCAGTCAAGGGCCTTGCTTTTCCAAAGTCCTCAAATCCAGTTTCCAACTGACATTGGGCAGCTCACAACGTTCTGAAGCTCCAGTGCCAGGAACCAGGCCTTGGGCCCACATAGAATAATAAATCTTTAAGAAAAGGAATGAGAATATCAAGGTTAAAGTTTTGGAGATTTCCTTAAAACTGCCAAGGCTTTGGATTTCCTTTTTTGTTTCTTTGCGGGTGTTTATCATGTCCTTTAACCCCAGGAATCAGGGTTGGTGGCTCTTGCTGGCATCCCGGCGGGTGCTGCCACTCTGCTTTGATGCATGTGCTCGACACGCGTGTGTGCCTGCGTCACACAGGGCTTTCACCCCCAGAACTGCGAGTCGGACCTCACACGCCCGTGTCCCACCGCTGAGCTACATCTCAAGTGTTTCATCTCCCTGCCTCTTGATACGGGCACCTTGCTGTGTGAGGTCCCAGGGGTTTGCCCATATTCGTGGGCGCTTCAGAAGGGATGCCCTTGTGCGTTTGTAAGCCCTGTAAGTCTATAATGCCTCCAGAGGGAGGGTTTCTTACTCTAAATGCAATGTTTGTAGACAGATTTGTTAAATCTTGGGAGCATAAGGAGTTATCTTTCAAGTCGGTCTAAAACATCCTGCAGTTTGGTTTTAGTGTGGATAAATGTAACGTGAATTTTCCCGTTCAGGCTCTTGATTTCACTATCTCCTGTATCCATGTGATGATAAGGGATGTTCCCCAGTTATCCCTCACTGGCTTATCAGAGGCCCACATCTGGCAGGGCAGAATGGACGTAGACATGGCAAAGGTTAGAGGGCTTTGGGGAGAGAAGGATCTTGGGAAGAAGAAGGGAGAGCAAGGCCGCGATGGGTTATCCAGCATGTGACTGGATCATGTGGATCGAGGAAAGCAGCCCAGATGAGAGAATAAGCAAGTGTTATGGAACTATGGATGGGAATTAGCCCAGTTAGAAATTATTAGAGCAGATGGCGTGGGATGGGCCTTGGGAGGTAAAGACAGCTTAGGAGGTAATATCTGCCCCAGGTGAAGTAAGGCCATTCTGTCAGGTCTCTGTGTCTTTATTGATTTCGATAACAGGTTAGAGAATACTGCTGTAATACTTATAGGGTTCATAGCAAACATTATTAGATCATACTTTTAAATGAACCACAACAATGGGTGTTTTGCCTGTATCACTGACAGTTGTGAGCTGCCAGGTGGGTGCTGGTTCTCTGTAAGAGCTGTGCACTTAGTCACTGAGCCAGCTCTCTACTTCCTCCTCCCTTCTTTTGTGTTAAAGTTTTCTTTTGTCAAACATACTGAGTCTGTTGTCTGATTGGTCCCTCAGATGTTTAAGTTTGAGACATCCAAGGACATTCGGCAAGTGAGAGCAAAGCACAGGAACAGAACAGTCAATCAACCTAGGTCCGAGCACACCTGGAGCAGGTTGAAACCACAGATAATGAAGTTATGATGGCTGCCAGTAAAGTAGCTAGATGCAGGAGTTTAGTGCATAGTTTATGGCCTTGAGTCTTCCACTGTGTGTCTAGATGCCTGTGGGATTAGAGGGTTCCGGTTCTGTGGCTCCTAAGAGGTGACCTTGGACTGGAGACGATACGGTTAAATAAAGCTGTGGCACTAATGAGGGCTCACATGCTCCAGGTCGTAGACTCTTAAAGGCCCTTGACAACTGTGCAAAGACTGAGTCCTTCCGATTGAGTCTACTTCCCATGTGTCTTTTGGTAAACAATGTGGTATCTGGTCAGGACTGTTCCTTACAACCACAGTAAGCCTGACTGACTTACTCATGGATCACACTGGTTGTGATGCTTGGTTTTTGTCAGTGTGATACAAACCTAAGCATATTTGGAATGAAGAACCTCAGATGAGAAAATGGTGTCTACCAGATGGCCTGTAGGCAAGTCTGCAGGTCTTTCCTAATTGATGATGGATATGAGAGGGTCCAGCTCACAGCCCACAGAGGATGCTGCCACCCCTGGTCAAGTGGTTGACCAGCAGGTTGAGCAAGACCATGCAAGCAAGAACACTCTTGTGTGGCTTCTACTTCTGTTCCTGCCTTTACCTCCCTCAGTGCCATATTAGATTGCAACCTGAGGGTTGAAAGCTGAAGTAAATCTTTTCTTCCCCGACCAAACCTGCAAGAATAAGAAATGGTGAGATGTTGAGAAGAAGGAGCAAGGATGAGAAATAAGACAACAACAATAGCGGGGACCAGGGGGACGTGTGTAAGGTGATGACAAAGCAAGTCCATTAAGAAAAGCATCTTCTATGCTATTTGCAGAGAAAAAAATGGGCTCACCAGTGAGCTAAATCAGACAATGTTGGCAAAGAGAACACAGGATGCTGCTGACACAGCTGCCTTAGGACCAGTAGCCACAGCCTTTCAGGGACAAAGCCAGTTTCCTAGGAACTGCAACCGTAACTTCTTTGAGGCTCTGTGTCTTAGGGTATCTATTGCTGTGAGA